TGTAACGCCTTGGTTTAAAATTCCAGCTTTGTTTTAGTCGGTATTGTCCATTTTTCCCCCTCGAACGCTGGTCGACCGAGGTACGCGACACATTGGTCAGACGCCAACTTTGGTTGTGCTTCCGTGAGTACACTTCCACGCTGTAGTACCAAGCGTTCGCTTCGTGATCTGCAAAGATAAAAATGCAGGTGTGACTGGAAGTTATTTATCAAAGGTCTTGAACCATAGATCCGCGGAGGAGCGTGATTCTACGAAGTCTGGGCTTGGGTATGTGCATTAAGTGCGTTGGTCTAGGCACATTACACCAGGTGCTTAACGTGAGACGAGTGACGATTCCATCACGCTCCTTTTTCCCGATGGCCTTCAATACGCCCTCACGTTGACCATATTGGATAACACGCCGTTTCATGAAGATCGGCTCACCGTCAACTTCCAATTTGGCAGGCTGAACATTCATACCTCCAAAATTGTTGGAAAAATTCGCGATTAGATGCCGCAGATGCGTGTGCACGTTGGACGCGGTGCTGGTATGAATTATCACGGAATTGTTCAACACACGAATTACGGCTAAACCCAGTATAGATGAACTGCTTTTGGTCATCAGGAAGCGTATGGGAACAAAGCGGTTTTCTGTGTTGTGTCCCGTTACACAGAGGATTTTCGCAGACCTTGGACGGATTTTTTTAGGGATAAATCGATTGTAATTCTTTAGTGGAAATGATAGATTCCATAGTTCCTGTGTCTACATGAATTTTTGCTTCATACCAGACTGCAGTAGCATATTTTTGTATATAAATTGGGTACACTGACTTTGGGTTCGTAAGAAAAACACAGGGCTTGTTTGTTGTTCGGCTGATGGTTGCGCCACGTTACAGCGGGGCTATTTGCACACTCTACGGATGTGGCCAGTTTTCCATCACTTTGTATCGCGAAATCGACAAGTGGAGTGCAAGCGGTAAGCTCCACATGATGGGCATGTGTTGGTGGGTTTCTGGTTGCCAGAAGTCTCACGTTGTGGCACGGATGTATGTGTGACCACTGCAGGACGGACTGGTTTTTGTCTGCACCGTTGGAATAAAGTGACCCCCTCCTTGGAAATTGCTTGCATTAAATCGTCGTATTGTTCACATATCCTGCATGCTTCCCCGAGCCTCAGATCCTTTATCCAGCAAGTTCCGTTGTAGTTTCAACTTGTTTATACCTACCACCAAATGGTCACTCAGTTGTTCTTACAGACGATCACCATTATTACAACTGACTGCTTAATCAGTTAGAGGATGAAATCGCCACAAACGTTATTCTCGACACGAACTAGAGAATTGAATTTAGCCAGTTTGTGTGCCTGAAATTCGGTGTACAGCAGGTTACTGAGTAGTAACCTCTTCAGGGAATTGTACTGTAGTTTTTCCGATACCTCAGGGAATGCCAGATTCTTGAGCATGGAGTAGATGTCACGGTCGACAGCAGTGAGAAACAGGGCTGATTAGTACTGCGCACTATCTGTACGAACGCTGAACCACAGCTCGAATCGCTCCAACCATTCCTCGATCTCGAACGAACTGGCATGCAAATTCCGTTGTTCAATAGTTGATAGCTCCATTGCACGAGGCCAAATTGTAGTATTTGAAGTAGGCACAGATCACGAACTACTTATTACTAAATACGAATCACGAATTCCATGGAAGCATTGAATAACAGTGACATTTGCACGACGGAATTGCCCATCACCGAAACGCAAGGAAGAAGCCACAGAAGTAGCAGTTCGCTTATTTGAAGAAATAAAAGTGGTTAAATAACGTACAAAATAAGTTCTTTTTACCCATGTATCTAGCACCAAGGTGCTGGTATTCTGTGCTCGGAAGGCTTCTGATTGGTCGGCACTATTGGTCTGTGGTTCGTTGTCCAAAGATATTCAATGTGGTTCCAGATAGAATGAATGATGTAACGGCATTGGTCAGGCAAATTTACGAAAGATAATCTTCCGTTTCCAGTCGTTCCTTACTGAATCTATAAGTAGGATATATAGTTTGTGACCCTCGTATTGTTGTCACTGAGTCGATCAGGAATTCGATACTGAAGGAATTAAGCGATGCCAACTTTTGTCTCGTGCCAATAAATACCCAATCTTTAATTACCAAAGATAAATAAAGCACTAGAGCGAACAGTTTCAAAAGCATCAGAATAAAAAATCAGTTTGACCAATACCACCACAGACCCCGTCAGATTGGTTATAAGAATGCTCTTGTCTGGGTTATTTTAGATTTGTTAAGAATTTGATGAGTGCAGCTGATTCATGTTTACTCATGCTGAGTTCACGTCCATACGGTGTCAACCGCCGACCCTGAAGCCACCCTCAGTAAATCGCTACTCATTTTTTTTACCACTCGCGATTTTTCAAAGACATAATGCACAAGTAATAGCCTTCACTTTTGAACGTGAATTTCGAGGGTTTACTTAAAAGTGATCCGGCTATATTACTTCCTCATTATCCCCCGTCCAATTGCATTGCGGCAAGAGTCGTCGAATTATTCAGAACAATATTTCGAAAGCAGCATCTAATGCAATTAAACAGCAAACTTACCAGAGTTCTTTTTATTTACCGCATTATCAGGAAATTCCCGCTATGTAATAGGCTAGGACGACTACGTTGGATCACAGTTAGACCGGGCTTTTCATCACCTGAATCGATGGTTACTCAATGCTGTGAGTGCAAAAAGGCTATCCGGAATCGAATAAACAGAGGAAAAAGCTTCCTTCAGAGGCTATGCACAACTATCGCACTAGAGTATATGTAAATCTGAGGCAGACTGCTACCAAAACCAAAATAGACCTAAACGATAGAAAGACCTCTCGGCTAATTGCTGTCTTGGTCCGTACGCAACCGGTCGACAACGAAAGTTGGGTAAAGTCCAGGGGCTTTTTCTAGAACTAGAGGGATTGATTACAGTGTATAAGTCTAGTTCTTCAAGAAAACTGCTCGACTGTTTTTGTTCCGAGACAATAACCTCAACTAGGGTATGGTGACGCGTTGCTTCCAGACTTACCGTCCTCGATCACTTGATCTGCCTGCTCCAAATATCTCATTGATTGATTTAAAAGTTCTATCGATAAACCACTTGCATGATGAACTACTCCACACTCACTTATGGTTGGTTTAATTCATTGTCAAAACAGCTCTAGGCCTGTAAGTATTCCCTTTAGTTTTTGACCGACTGCTGACTCAAGATGCCTAAAGTGTGACCACGCTAGTTCCCTTACTAATTGTCTCGTCCATTTACCTTAATTGTATACGTTCATCGTTCGGTCATTTACCGATTCCAGTCTGTTTATTTATATTATCGTTTACGATCATCGTCGAGAATGGGCTATTTAAGCTAGATGATGAAAACAGGTTTGCATGTAGGCAGGCAGACAGGTGGCTGAAGCGTATCAGTTTATCGAAGAGAAGTATTTGATTTTGTGGTCAAAGCTCGCTTAGTAGAATACGGTTATCACGAATGTTGTTCACACCTGTATCGGTTTTCGGTACAAAATGCGGTTCTGTTTAGTTCGTCCAGTGTGCAACCCGTCACTTCCCGTCAAACCGCGGTCGCCTCTCCTGACATAAGTAGGTTGTCATTGTAGACACGAAGACGGATCTGACAGAAAATATCGGTGACAGTATGACTTTGCAACAACTTAGATTACTGAAATTAACATGAGCTGGATCCCGCGGTTTTAAACAGTGAAATTCAGGTTTTCAATAGGGATTTCGAGGTAAACGTTGAATTCGAGAAGTCACACAATGTTCCATTTCCACATGTATACATACCATTTAACCGCAACTTTGATGTTCACAGCGTGAAACTGTTATGTGTTTAGGAAACATTTGAATATTATTCATTTCCCTGTGGGTACTAGTTAAGCTGTAAAAGTATGCTGTAAAAGGCTTCGATGAGATTGACACAGGTCCGCTGTATTGCTGTCTCCATCTCTCCTCAATTTTCAGGTATTCTCAACTTTTAAACTACCAATCAGGGTCAAATGAATAAATATTGGCATCGTATACAATTTGTGTTCCGTAGTAATGGACTGCCTCCTATCAGTCAAGAAAAGTTATTATTGGCACGGAACCATGTCATCATCGCAGTTGCCAACCGTTTTTCACGTTTGACGTCCGCATAAAGGCATCGGTACGTCCCACGTTCACTTAAATCAGGTAAATAGCTCGCAAAATGACCAGTAAGTCGATAAGCTCACCGCATTGTTTGTCACGTGACAGGATATTTCTGTCAAAGACATTGCAATCATGTGAGTTGGTTGAACGTCTGTGTCCTAGTTAGCGCGCGAAACATGAGACACTAAATAGCAAACGAAAATGTTGTTATGCCCTAGATAAACGATTTTCAAAACAGATTTCCGAATAGGATTTCAATCTATATCAGTCAAAAGGAATTATCAAGTTTTCATCATCCATGGTATCTCTGATTTCAACTATTCATTAACATCTCAAATAGCACGCGCAATTCAGCTAAAATTTGCTACTGATCAGGGATGTTCTTTCCACTGGCGCGATATACTGCAAACCAATATTGTACTGCCCACCTTTTGGTATACCGAGATTCGAGCAGAAAGATAAAGATGGTGTTGATTTGTCCTCCTCTTACTCTCTCCTAATTAACTATCTTAACAGAACACATAAGGCATGCATGTTTGCGTGTCTACTTTCAATGTTCAGTGTGATATATACTGACGTGCGACACTGGTGGTTGCAAACTATGGGAAATAACAGCTTTTATTTGGTACCGTCGAGGCACATGGAAAGCTATCGGACCAACATGGGGACACTTATACAAACTACCGGCGCTCAGAGAACACAAAATACATGGTGTCAGTCGCACGCTTCTAATGACTAAAACGATATTGCAACAATCAATAGCAGTTAGCATGGAAACTACTTCTGGATCATCAGGATGTCTGAAAAAGCTAACTTACAAGATATATTTCAGTTCGCTCACACCAATCAGACTTGATCGATAATTCCGTTTCTATTTGTTGGTTGTACATCATATCCAAATCTATTTTCACATGCGTTTTATACCACATTTTTTAGGCGTTCTGGGTGTCTGACTCATAATCATCTCAGTGACTATTTGTTATATCTTAAAGCTCATTCTTAACAGCGTGCAATGCCAAATCAAGAGCGATAACATTCTTTTCACTGAAAATTCTGTCTACATTGTATGAATAAAGTGCACTCTTGACTCGACTTGTATGGTCTGAATTCCCAACAAGAGTATTTTTGTTCTGTACACATGGAGCTTCGACCATATTTTTTTAACCATACCGGACAGTTTGTGTGCTTTTAAAATCTTCACTACTAATCCGTATGACAGAGAAAAGGTCACACACTTGTCGCTCTCATCATCTTATATCCTCGCTCTGTTATTGTCCTATTCGCCTTTAAATCTAGTCTTTTACAGACTCACAAAATCATTCATTTTTCTCAGTCATCCAGATTCCAATGAGCAGCGTGCGTATGTGGTCGCTTCTTTGTGTGACCCAATTTTGCATCTCCCGTACAGGTATATCACCTTACCATCATCATATAGAAAGAACTAA